AAAAATTTTTGTGAACTATTCTGAAACTATTGGAAAGTCACTGAAAGTACGATAACGGATAGAAATAGTTTCTATTGTAATGCGATTAGATAGATAGTTTGCGTACCAAAGTTCCGTCGACTTGAGTATCAAGCAGTAAAACAATTCGGGCGAGCATCTCTTAAGCGCACCTTAACTCATATAAAATAGGTAATTTGATGATACTATTGTTAAAGTTTGTTGCACCCATCTCACCTGCTCCAACCAATACACTTTCAATCTTGACTAACTTAAGATCATAGTTTACAACATTTGCATTATGCATAAAGATAAATCCGATTTAATTAAAGAGAAATATCGAACAAATTGTATATACGTATGAATATTATTCTTTTTACATTCTTTAAAATTTATATAATTTGTATACTTTATATATTAATATATAAAGAATATATTAATACGTAAAGAAAAAGATGTATACAAATTTATTATGTTTATTACGTGTCAGTCACGGCTTATTTTAAAATTCAATCGGGTCTTCTAAAAATACGTGATTGATGATCTCATTCCCGTGGGAGAGAGTGAGTTTAAATCCCCAACGTCCCATGGAAAAAATTGATCAGTTGGCGGAATAATCCGTTGGATTATGCGCGACGTATCGTCGACTACGGGAAAGAACTAAATTGGCCATTAGTATCACTGACACAACACTGTCGCTGTCGACTCTCGCGAACGTCTTCGAGTCGATCCGACACTTTGATTTAGAAACTCACGCCGCCTGAACTTTCCCATTAACCGGTTAATTTGAATCCGTCCCGCGCCGCGGCACATGACTAACGATCGAGCTCATTGATCTCGGTCTTGATGCATCGCGCCGTAAATGCACGAGGATGGTACGACCTAGAAAAGAAGCGATGGCATTTGCCCTTTTCCCTCTTTCGACTTGACGACATTCGGGAACTTTGAGAATTCTCTTTCGTAGCTGTGTTGACTTTTAATTAGCGCTTGTTGATCTCTTATTATCAATTATTAGCGACTACCTTTTTCTGTCGAACTATTCCTATTCGCGTTTCTGACTGAAAAACACCGAAATTGCTTCCGGCATATATTTATAAGCTCAATCATCATCAATTGTTCGTCCAAATAACGCTGAATAACTATTTATTATTACGAATATTTTTGGCAAAAATTCGATGGTAAATTTATTACGTTTGTTTGCAAGATAGCTAATAATAAATAGTATATCATAATTAGATAATTACCGAATTATATTTATATAATAATGTAGGGGAGTTTGCACGTGTTGACAGTCATTGGAATATTTAATTTATAAATTTTTGATCGCGACTACGTGTTTGTTGAAAAAAATTATCTAAATTAATTTCAGTGATAAAATGACAATGCATATGCATGCAAATATTCACACATTTAAATGTGCAAACATTAAATTGTTACATAAGCACTTTAATAATTGCTGCTAAATAATGTACTAAATATAATATGAATATAACATAAAATGTACTGTTAAATTCAACGCGGTGAAACTAAAATATTATAAATTGCTGAAAAAAAGATTTGTAAACATTAGCATTCACAAATTTTCATTCTTGCAAGTTTAACAGTAATTCAATAGTAACTGATATCTTTGATATTAAAGATTCGTTAATATATAGGAACGGTAAGAATAAATCTATTTTCTCTGATCGTAAAATTGCGAGATAAGGCACATGAATCAGTTGAATAACATAAGGCACATGTGAGTTCGAGATTGGGCTCTGAAAACACGCGCTACGAAGGTGGCGTGATAATGAATTCGATCATCGTGAAGAATTTCAATGAGGAAGCGTACCGAAGGTAGATCAGCCATGCAAGGAAGAAGCAGAGATAGATAAACAGAGAAAGAGAGAGAAAGGGAGAGAGAGAGAGAGAGAGAATGAGACTAACGTAAAAGAACTTTTCAATCTCTCTTCGTGGTTTCTCAAAGAGTGAAAGGATTTCGTAAGTCGTACGATTCGGTTTTATGTTCTTCTTTGGAGCCCAATGTTTCTGCTCCTCCCTTTTCCCTTCGCATGCCGTCCTCTCGGGAGAACTGCAAAGCTTTGCTCCATGTCACGCGAGGATAAGGAGGGTGAATCAGCCCCAGGCACTCACCTTAACGAAAGTAAACGCTCTCATTTTCCAAGTACAAGAAGAACGCCTAAAACAGTCACTATTTAGCTATTTTAAGTTGACTGTAATATGAAAAAGTCATTAAATCGATTCGAAACTTCATAAATCCTTGAAATTTTAGAAGCAGATAATCTCTCATTTGCATCTAATTTCCATAAATTAAAGATAGGGAGAAATAAAATGTAATTATTTTTTTATTATGTACCATAAACTATTAAAACTTTATAATTTTCCTGAGTAAAGACATATAAACGAAGACTACTATCGAAAGAATACATATTTAAAAAAATATGTTTTTATTGTAGTAATTATAAAAAGAACAGATACATATTGTTTGCATAACTTTTCATATTTCACTTTTTTATTGAATTTATTTTTCTGATAAAAATTTTTCATGCTAAATCTCTAATATATTTTTATAATATAATGATATGTCTTTGTGATGGAACTAAATTTAACGGAAATAATCATTAAATATAAGAGACAAATAATAAGTCGAATTCTACGTCGGGCAGCGGATGATTTTATGTACACAATTACTACTTGATTCACTTTATTAAAATCTCGCAATGAGAAATGATCGGGGTTCTTTGATCGAAGAAAGACAGTCGAGAAAAGACAACGTGTCGATTGAAGAGTGAAAATAATAGAGAAAGATGAGAGTAATAATAAAAGGCATCTATTAGTATCTGCAACGAACAAATCAATATCTCGTAAAGATCTTCAAAAAACACGTCAAAAGCGAGAAATTGCTTTACGCGAGATGTTATTCTCTATGATCTCCTAATTGGACGAGAATTGCGACTCGCGAACAAACTTCCGATTTTGAATTATTCCAGAGAATACTAGGCGTATTAAATTCTCCTTTAATCCTGCTCCGTTCTCGAGTAGGAGCATCGATGATGCAGAGTCGCGATTCTCACGGATTGCACGACAAAATATCGACAATAAAACGACCTGCCGTTCATTCTCGTTATCGTGACAAATAATAATCTCGTACCGCAATGTCCGATGTAAACTGAGAAAAAGATCGTTGCAGCGAATATATACCGTACATATCCGACCTTTATCGCTTGCGTTATCGATACACTGCAATCTATAATCAACTGTGAAGAGAAGCACCGTTGCAAGAAATATTAAGGGTCGGTGAAAAAAAGCTCACGCCGGACATTCGAATGGTTCATAAAATACGACGGTTGAATTGGCCCGAATTCTATGACGCGCGCCGGAATGGCGATGTGAAAAATGTTCGGCCGGTGCCGCGCGATCGAAATGAAACGATCGCATTATTACTTGGGTGTGGTAGAAGTTATACGGAGAGCCCCGCTCAGATTCGCCGCAACTTTCCGTCTATGAAGTTTCATCCGCGATCAAATTTTCCGTTTTAACAAATACATCAAGATATAGCTTTTCAATTCTACGATAGTATAATTTCCTTGCTTTAATCAAAGACGAAATTTTCATATGATTTCGTGGCTCTTTATCGTCCAGGATTTCTATTTAATTTTTAATTTTACATCACTTAATGCAATATTAAGAAATTTATAATTTTTGTTATTATAAAAAGAATAAGATGATGACGGTTATTTAATAAGGGATATAATATTTTAACGAGACCGATCATGAAAGCTGCATCTAAGAAGCGCAGTATCGTGCGTAGTTTCATGATTTATTTCGTTTTTTTCTGTTACAAGCTAAAAATATAGATTTAACCGAATATTTATACTGGTAACCTTTTGTTTGCCAACGTACGGTGAAAAATGAAAACTCGTTTTAGTTCATCCCGTAGCACAGCTTTCCTGGCGTACGAAAAGTATTTTCCCGGGACGCGTACGCGTGACATTTTCAAGAAATTACCCCGCGCAATTTTCTATCTTTTGCTCGTATTTTTTACTACCTAGGCGGGAAATGTTTTTGTATTTTGCCAACAAATTTGCGCCGTGACATGCAGTGATATAATGCCAGCTTTATTCAACATAGGGTCAGTCCGGTCTGCTCATTCTACTCACATTAAATGCACCTCTAAACAGAAATACAATTCTCAATTCTTTCTCTTTTCTACAAATGTAAAACACAAATTAGACCCGTTAATTGAATCGTTAATTGTTATATGAAATTTAGCAAAGAATGGCGATTTAAAAATGTTAATTATTTCAACTTTGCCTTTAGCAAATATTTAATTGAAATAATTAACATTCTTTGCTAAATTTCATATAACAATTAAAAATCCTTTAATACATTTCATAAAAAATCATTATCTGTTATAAAAACAATTTATAATATTTAACGATAAATTATCTTTTTGTACCGTATAATCTCAAATTGAAGTTCTGAAGAAAAGGAATTACTTTAATTTAGACGAGCAAGAGAGTTATTCTCGATTCATTCCAGAAGAGTGATTAGAGAAGCTTTTCCATTCGCTTGTGTAACTTGAAAAGGAAATAGTACGACTCTGAAAATAGTTAAAAAGAAAATTTGACATCTCAAGAATACGATGACCAAAATGGAAGAATTTTTAAGACACACTAATCGGAAGAGGTGCTATCGCGACGCAAATGGACAGGGGATATAAATGGAGATTGACAGGGCAACGGGATGGGCAGGTATATATTTTAGGACACAAGGGCGCGAGAGAGGTGAGAAAAGAGAGAGTGGCGGTTTCCTCGTCAAAAAAGATGAAGTCAACGCGGTTTAGCGAAAGAGGGGGAGGGGGGAGCGGCGGAATAGGGGGAGTAGCTGCACGAGCCGAGGGAGACTCGATCGGGGATGCGAGAGAGCGGGGGTGCGTTCTTTAAGGTAGGGGGCATGCGCGGTGTCCGGGGGTGCAGAGCGGTTCTCGGAGGTTAGTCGCCCGCCAACATCACGACGTGTCGCTCGCGCCTCGCGAACGTTGGATTTACACGCATTCGTTTTCCTCACCCTCTTTCACCCTCGCCGACAGGTACTCGATTCGTCGGCGGCCGATCAGTGATCCGATATCGATCGATAGGGAAACCGTCGATCTCCGACCCCTTTCCGGCAGTGGATTTCGCGAATCGCACGGATAATTCCGAATTTGCCGATCGGGTTTCACGTAGCAGCATTTAATATACAACGACACCCACCCCCGCATTTTGGGAGTGCGACAGTGCATTAAAAGTGCTCCGATCGACGTTGGGATGTGGGCCGCGCGATCGCGAATGAATGACGATTGAATGGCGATTTGTTCGCCAAGACGTCTTTCGCCTCTGCGTCCGCTTAAAGTGAACGTTTCCGCGCTCGCGATCGATGGAACGGATCGAAACTGATCGCGAGATGATGATAGAATAAACGCGCGTGCCGTTTATGATTCGGATCAGCGGTGCTGCGTCCTCGACGAAAGGAGCTGTGAGATACGTATCCTGCAACGGGGACATAGACCGGAAGTGACTGCATTGTGCGTGTCGCCGTCATTGCGGTAAACGGCGCGTAAAAGTGCGCGTAACCACCGAGTCACACGAGATATCCGGGTTTTTCCGGATCTATTGTGCCGCGAGGAGGATTTCCCCTGGGAGGATCCGGCGGAGATTCCGGAGGACCGCACTGCATTCGCAGCGAGATTTAGATGCGATTCTGGCACTCCCTCGTCCTAAGAAGTTCGTACGCAGTGTCCTTAAAGTGTAGTTCCGACATCCGTAAGTGAAATCCATATGTTTTTTTTCATATCGGTGTGGGTGCGCGAATGTATCGTTCAATATTTTATGTGAAGTGATAAGGTATACGGGATGCCCCGAGAAAACGTGTCAGTCTTGTTAGAGGGATCTAATCCTTGAATCATTTACAACGGAATTATCCAGGATGGATATTATTAGCCATTTTAACCCATACTTTTTTATTAAAGCTTTTTAACAAAGTTTCATTTATAAATAATATTGCTCCGCAATATTTTTATCGTGAAGCAAATTGAATTTTTTAAAAATGCAATAGTTAGAGAAGTACGTTCGTCCACGTAAACCGATTAAACGGAAGAAGGACTAAGACGAAAAATTTTCTAATTCTTTAAATAAACGTACGAAGAAAGTTTACATATGTTTTACTTACTGTAAAATTACAAATTTAAATTAAATTAAAAATTTCATGTGCATTATATAAAAACTTAAACGATGCATTTAAAATTGATTGAATAAAACTCAAGGATATTAATAAATTAATTATAATATTATAATATTATTTATATTGTTTATAATTATATTATTAGAGTGTTTTCTATCTTCTTACAGTTTATAATCATTCTATTTTATAATTATAAAGTAAATTTAATTAACATTTTAATACAATTTTACTTAAATAATTTAATTAAATCTCTTTGAATTCGACAAAATATTACTCATTTATATATATTGTAAGACTGTAATGAAACATGTTCAGTGATGAATTAATAATTAACGAAGAGAGTGCAATTGACGTTGTTTCAAATATCGTGCTAATCGTGTAATGAGCGTACATGTGCATGAGGGATTAACGACGCGTATGCTTAAAATGGCACATAGTAATAGTGACACTATAATTTTGGCAGCATTTTAGTTATAATAATAACAGTAGCAATCGTCGTCGAAAAGCCGGCCGATCGAGTATACGCATTATTTCGTTATTATCGCTTACAGACAATGAACAATAATATTTATATGCGAGAGCCCCTACGCAAAATTTTCTCTTGATTTTTTAATTGGATTTTACGCCGTTTTCACCGAAAGCGACGATGATGAGAGAGAGAATGGGGATTTCGATTTGCACTCTAGACGAAAAACGTAATACAATTTATCAGCGATGCCACGCGAATTTTGGTGCCGAATATGCAATCGACTGTACACGCTGAATATGCAATGCGTTCTCCAACTTATATCTCTGGCGGAAGGAATTTTATTGGACGGTAGCTCACGGACGCTTTTGCACTGTTAGGTAATAAAAATGCTCAAAGCTAATCGATTATCCTATCGGGCCGAGTTTAGGGTCTCGTTTTTAAGCTTTTAAAGTTTAGTTTGGAGTTTACTTACGGACTTTTTGCGTACGGGATACGCTCCTGAAATTATATCAACTGTGCGCAGAGAGGAACGTAGAATATTCAGGACGGGACAATATAAAACTTTACTCGGTGATGTTTATTATAAGAAATGTTTTATCTATTTAAATACGTGAGACATTTTAGTTTAACTATCAGCGTGAATAAAGCGCATTTGACAGTTCAAGTATCTTATTTCTAATTTCATTTATTTAGGAAATAATAATCAATGCATACATAATTATTGTGCATACATGTTTATTTTTTTAGCTCTCTCACATATACACACACACACACACACACACACACGTACGTGCGCGTGCATATATGTATATTTAAAAAATACTAATATTAATCTCTCTTGTAGTCGATATTACACGAGTGAACTGTATAAAAAAATATTGTTTATAAAAACTAAAAAAAATAACTTTATAAAAAAAATCTTTAACGTACACATACATACATACGTTTGAAAAAAAAAAGATACTTTATATATACAGTTTGAAATTCGCGAAACACTGGAAATAGATTGGTGTGCGAATGACACGGGATCATGACTATTGTCACAATCGCGACACGCGTATAGAGTTTCGGCTATCGTGAACACACGAAATAGACGATAGTAAACTATTCATCTTCATTCACGAGGCATAATTTCACGAAGTGCCGCCAATCGATCGCCATCCACCGTTCTATTTCGGATTTATGCTCGTACCGGAGAAAGCCGATAGATATTTCCCGATACAAAGAGAATACGGAAAGAAGAAAGGGAGAAAGAAAGGAAGTTAGGTATAAATCCGTTCGGTGCGATGCTGTAATGAATCGTCCCGCTGGGCGTCGCGGATTCATCAGCGACGTGGAGCAGACTTGTTAAAACGAGTAATTAACAGGCGACCATTATCGGCTTGTTGTGTGGCACTCTGGGATGTCAGCGATTCTTCAGTGAAACACTATTCAATCACTCGCATTACGCGCTTTATTCGTTATCTTTTCTATCGTGAAATAAATCAATTTGAATTCTACGGATATTTCCACGGATAGCGCACGGATTAATATTCAGAAAAACATGCTCATTTATAAAATCGGTAGAGTTTAACGAGTACAAATAGTATATAAATTCATAAGAGAGATTAGCTTAGCTTCAATAGAATTTTATCTTTCTATGGATATTTTATTATTGCTATGAGCGAAAAAATTGTCATTCATATGTTTCTATTTATTTGAAAAGTCGATGAAACGAAGGGATTTGTGAATGTACGGAATGAATACCTTCAGAAAGCCATTAATGATTTAATTATTCTCGAAATGAATATAGCGTGCTAATGGAAAATCTCAATTTATTAATTTTATTCTTTTCTTTTCTTTTTGATATTTGATGAAAAATAAATTAGTTATCTATTATTTGAAACAAAGTGCGTTAAGTATCTTCATTTTCGCATAAAATTTTTTAGAAGTTCTTAAATAATGACAAAAATATTTTTGTTAATCTTGGTAGAACCAGCGATAAACTTCTTACAAAATAAAAATTTCGTATGACGGTATATTTCAGGACTGCATTAAATTACATATGAAGAGGCAAATATAAAGAAAAAAGCACAGTTCCCTCTCTCTTTTTTTTTCTCTCTCTCTCTCTGTCTCTTATTTTCATAAGACATAGTATATTTAAATTGCTAAGAATAATAGAGCATATAATTTTAGCTCTAATTTGCCCTATGTTCAAGGTGTACTTTACATTTTCAGAAAAGTCTCAGGCTAGTGAGAAACGTTTCTGGCTATGCTTTGATGTGTAATGCAACTGTGCAAATTGAATTAATAATACTGCAAACCTACGTAGGATCACGATTTAGTTATTTCGCAAGTTTCGCAGATCCGATGACAATTTGTGAGAACGGATAACGTGGGGAACAATTAATTACTTTGATTATAATTATTCGTGCGTTATGCAAATCGCTTAGAGAAGTCGATGCACGACCAATAATCGGTCACTTCGCTAATTGCTCTTCGATTTGTTAGTGGTTTTAATGCATGAAATAGTAGGAACGTAAAACTCAACTGGATTCGCTATTAAGTGTGAACATCAAGTGAATAATCATAGAAAATATAATCGTCACTCTATAACTGTCAAACATCAAGACACATAAATTTTGATACTTGATAATTTGATTAATTTATATATTTAATTTGTATTACAATTTAATAATTATTCGATTAAAATATTTGATTAAAAATTATGTATATGTATGTCTGTTATATTTAAATATAACAGCTACATCACGCGCGCGTTCATACTATGTATCTAAATATTAAACATACATTATAAATATAATTAAATGTGATTCTGTTTATTATATTTTATTTTATAACACACTATTTTTATTTATAAATTTATAACACACAATTATTATCTCTATATATTAAAAATATATTAATTTACTGAAAACAGAGACTTTTCAGGCAGATTTCTACAGATTATTTATAGATTAAAAAGATTTTGTTAAATATTTTATCATTGACATAAAAAAAGAATCATTTTAATTCATTCCAAAAATTTATCGACTGTTTGACACGTCATTAACAACTTATAATAAATATCTTTTTATGCCCGATTTGACGTTTGCAAAATTGTTTTCATGATGATTTTTTCCATAATTACGATGTAAAGAAATTCTTAAAAATTATAAACAATAATTAGTAGCAAGTAATTTTTACATGGTTACAGCGACATTTTATAATTCCGTTTTGATCCCTTTATGGTTAATCGATCATCCGCTATAAGCTACTAATCCCATTCAATATATATATATCGTTTTCCGCGATTATAATTCAAAGCATTATCGAATCGCTGAGCGAGTAACTTACGGTATGACAGCTAAGGTAATGCAAAATGAGGAGATGATCGATTAAGCTATTTTCAAGTTCCTGATATGCGCGCGCGCTTGGCAATTCAAATTGCGCGAGACTGATGCCGTGTTTCGTTCCCGAAGTGCCAGGATATTCGATGATGATCGACTGTGCTCTGCCATTTTCCGCCTTTTTTTATTAATTCTCGTATGTATGTGTCCCTGTGTCTGCGTTCGTGCGCGCGCATATGTAACAAATCGCTATATATTTCCCGACCGAATTAAAGAATCTATCCATTCTTCTTACTCAACATAAATGCGATCCGTAAGAATTGCCTGTCATAAAAAATTCCATTTCACTGGCACGAGAAGAGCAGTAATGGCATACCAACTCCCGTCCGCGATTTCTTTTTTTTCTCCTTAACATTGTGATGAGACGGATAAATTGCAAGGAACAAGAATGTCCATTTTTATGCGACTTGCCCGCCATTTCGAGGATCGTAAGATCACGAGAAGAATGTATGTCAGTCTTATTGATGTAACACGCGATAAATGAACAGCGTTTTATTTATAAAACATGCACGATGGAACTTTGGCATTTTATTGTTCCGCATAAAAGTAGAGATAAAATAAAATTGTCAGCAACAAGAACAATAATTATACTTTTACATACACTCGTTAACACTATTTTTTATAATAGATAACTAATTTAATACATGCATATGCATATATATACACACATGTACAACGTGTATCATACGTTTGCGAATATACCGACAATGTAAACGGGATGAAA